CGGGTGCTGGGATGAATAACTCAGTGATTGCTTGTTGTGTATATTCCCTCTGAAGCACCTGGGATTGGCAGCTGTCAGAAGACAGGACGCTGGGCTAGATGGACCATTGCTCTGATGCAATATGACACTTCTAATGTTCTTATATAGAACCAAGATGTATCTGCTCCCTGCTGCAAGCCACTAGACCCCACTCCCCTACCAGAGATGAGATGGAGCCCAGGAGTTATGATGGGGTCTCTCTTTCTCCACAGTTAGTTACAAAGTGACAATATAAAAATTTTAAACCTAACAGTGTCCCTTAAGTAACTTGCCAAAAGAGGTCAGAACATGATATTATCAGAGCTGATTGGGTCTGAAACTTATCTGTCTTTTTTTTAGATGAGATCATAGAACCATAGGGCTGGAAGAGACCTCAGGAGTCATCAAGTCCAACTCCCTGCACAAGGCAGGATCAATCCCAACTAAATCAACCCTGCCAGGGCTTTGTCAAGCCAGGACTTAAAAACCTCCAGGGATTGAGATTCCACCACCTCCCTAGGTAACTCATTCCACCAGTGCTTTTCCATCCTGCTAGTGACATAGTTTTTCCTAATATCCAACCTACACCTCCCCCACTGTAACTTGAGACCATTGCTCCTTGTTCTGCCATCCATCACTACTGCGGACACCCTCTCCATCCTCTTTGGAACCTCCCTTCAGGAAGTTGAAGGCTGCTATCAAATCCCCCCTCACTCTTCTCTTCTGCAGACTGAATAAGCCCAAATCCCTCAGCCTCTCCTCGTAGGTCATGTGCTCCATCCCCCTAATCATTTTGGTTGCCCTTCACTGGACCCTCTCCAATGCATCCACATCCTTTCTATAGTGGGGCACCCAGAACTGGACACAATATTCCAGATGTGGCCTCACAAGTGCCAAAGAGGAATAATAACTTCTCTTGATCTGCTGGCAATGCTCCTCCTAATGCACCCTAATATGCCATTAGCGTTCTTGGCTACAAGGGCACACTCTTGATTCAGTAGGTGATATGGGGCTCCTGCCTGCTAACTTCTAAATTATCTGCCAGAAAGCTAGGGTTTTCAAGTACCTACTTACCCCTGGAATCATGGTTAAAGTTGCCCCCATTCCAACCAAAATCTGAAACCTAGTCGAGTACCCTGTCTTCTGACAGTGGCCAGTCCCAGAAGCTTCAGAGGGAATGAAACAGAACAAGGAAATTATTGTGTGATCCATCTGTTATTGTCCAGTGTTAGCTGTAAATTGTAGGGAGGGCTGGGTAAGAATGGGATGACCATCTCCTCCAGCGTAACAGACAGAATGGCCAAAGATGGTGTTCCTAGCCTCCGTATACCAGAAGCTGGCAGGAGCAACAGGGAATAGATCATGTTATCTGTTCACTGTTCATTCCCTCTGGGGTACCTGGCACTGACCACTGTCAGAAGACAGGATACTGGGCTAGATGGGCCTTTGGTCTGACCCAATGTGGTTGATCTTATGTTCTTATGGCATCTCTGTATGAACCCAACAGCTACTCCTTTTGTACAACAGGCCTCCATCAGTATTGCTCACTCACAGCTTAAGCTTTAGTGGGACTTTGGTATTTTTCTGAGTGGAACTCCTTGATCAATGGGCTTTTGTGGGCACAACCCACTTCTTCAGATGAATTGAGTTAAAGGTCCAGTTTCTAAATAAATAGGGAATGGCTGGGGGAGGAAAGGAGGGGAGGGGGAGAAAAAGGGGAGAAGAAATGATCTCAACTTTCAGTTAGCCCTCAGGGTTGTACAGAAATTCTTGAAACTCTCTCTTTCAAACACACACACACACACACACACACACACACACACACACACAAAAGCCAGAAGACAAATTAATAAGAATCCCTATTTTATTATTTTAATATGATTTTAGGTCATCCCATGATCTTTGGGAGCTTGGAATTATTTAATATAAAAAATACAGCACACATGGGGTTGGCAATGGTGCTATATGATCTGATCTAAAACACTGGACCCTATAGCAGGGAGAAATCCTGTCCCAGTAATATTCCACCTCAGCCATCTGATGGCACACTGAGTAAGAACTGTATATCTCCACATACCTGTGAGAAGTGTCTAACTTGCCATCACATCCAGAAGGTTAGTATTTTCTATTTCAGACATCTCCGGGGTTTTCTTTTTTTCCCCTCCTAAAGGTTGAAATGTGGAAAATAGGGAAGGAGGGCTACTCCACTCAAATGTGAAGGTATTTTTCAGAGATTATTTTGACATTTAAAAAAGAAAGGGGGCAAAAAGTCCAGCCACAATATAGTGCCGAGTAGGACTGCTTGCATTTAATGATTTTCCGCCAAAGAACCCATCTGAGTTCTCTGCTCAATCAGCATGCTAGTCAGATAATAAAGTGTGCTGCAGGGGAAAAAAGTAGGTTACAGTTTTTTTTCCATCTCTGTGCATATTTCTGATGAAAAGGGATATCATTAAGGATAAGGTTATCCCTTCAAACAGAGCTTGTGTGAACACCTGGCTTCTTTTATAACCTTTAAAGAAAAGATAATAAACAAAAACAGAGACAGACAGACAGTTGGGTTCATAAAGAGACAGAGCTCTCACAAGAACTGCGGCAATTGGAGGAAACCCTGTTAGTACTAGAGATTGTAAGTGACTAGCTGACTACCTGATAAGCAAATGCTTATCGGGTAGTCAAGTAGGAACTGGACTACTCACTCCCCATCCCCCTTGCTGTCTTATCAGAGAGAGGCAGCAAGAGGGGGAGAGCACGAGCCGGTGCTGGAGGGAGACGACTTAAAAGCTGGTTCTCCCCCCAGCACCATCTCTGCGGGGGGGCAACGGGGAAATGGCGTGAGTGGAGATTGAAACAGTTCTGCTAATGCTGATCCCACTGCTGCTCCTCTCCCTTTGGAATGTACAGGAGCCACCTGCGACTCTTGTACATTTCAAAGGAAGAGGCACAGAGGGGAACCGGTGCCAGTGGAGACTGCTTTGCTCCCAGCTAGCGCAGGTTCCTGCACCCTCTCTCCCTTTGAAATTTACATTTCCAGGGGAGAGGTACAGTGGGATAGCGAGCGCCCCCCTCATCGGCAAATTGAGTAGTTGATGGAAATTCCATCGAGAACTCAATTAGCTGATTAATTGTAATTTAACATTCCTAGTTCATGCTGGGCAGCAACAGTAATCCTCAAAAAATGCTGAGGCAAAGTTATGAGAGATGAACATTACACTCAGATCATATTCTGTCTGTAGCCATGATGGAGGAAAGGGATAGGGGAAGGGATAGAAGACCATACGAAGACAACCAGAACAGAAGCTGCAGTGAGCATTCTCCATGGATGCTGGAGAATTTAGGTAAACACTGACCTGCCTTGAAAACACTTTTCAAAAAAACACAGTGACAGTCTCTTTCCTCCAAACAAAACAAAAAAGACAAGCCTGTTTTATTATTTTAACAAATGCTTCTCCCTTGCTTGTGTACATTAGCTTTATATTAATGATGACAGAACTTGAAAAGGTTCAGTTACGATAATAATCCAATTTAAGCCCATTTTTCTATAAGCTTCGGCACACTTCTCTGATGCTTTTGTGTATTTTGACTTTGAAATTTTAAAATGCAATACAAAAACTAAATTAGACAAAAAAGAATTCTCTCAGGTCAATTTATAGAAATATATGGGGTTTCTGTCAGGTGCAGTTGACCTGGCTTAATGAAACCAGAGAGAGTTCCATTTAGAATAATGTACATGGGTGGAACGAAGCAAGCAAGCAAATGTGAACCTTAGCAGTATTATCACAGTAAACTCCACAAAGCGGAGATATCTAATGACTGCTGATTAACTGAAATAATTTCAATGGAAGTTCCACCTAACAGGGAAAATTTTTGACTGAAACCGATGGACTGCATAACATTGAACGAAGTATTAAGTAGGTGGGGATGTTTAGCCGCTTTTTGATTGATAAATATGGAACTCAAATACAACTCCAAGAAGACATAAAGATGAAATGCAACAGAATATAATGTTTACTCTTGTATTTTTCATTCAATAGGGTGTTTATTTTATTTCAAGACTTTTCAGGACTGTGTGGGAATGTTTTATTGCTTTCTTCTAACTCTTAATTGCTTCAGAGCAACTTTATGGCTTGGATTACATAGGATGTCACAATAGACGATCACAGTGGTCCCTTCTGCCCTTATAATTTGGACTAGCTGCCCATAGCAGAAAAGGTTTCAAGAATTTTTGAACCTGGGACTTTCAGGATGAACAAACATGCCACTAACACTTGGGGGAAAACGTCAAAATTATAAAAGGCAGTTTGGTATCTAAATTTCACTGAAAACTCAAAGAAAAGTACATCTTCCCTTAACGGTATGTCTAGACTGCATCCCTCTGTCAGCAGAGGGATGCAGCTTAGGCAGCTTGACATTGCAAATGAGGCAGGGATTTAAATATCCCGCACCTAATTTACATTAAAATGGCCACTGTGTTTTGCAGACTCAGCACTTTGTCGGCAAAAAGAGGCAGTCTAGAGGGGGATCTGTCGAGAAAGAAAGCCTTTTTCAACAGAACCCTTATGCCATCTGCAAGGAGGTTTACAGGACCTGCCTAATTTGCATCCCTCTGCCAACAGAGGGATGCAGTCTAGACATACCCTAAGTGTCCTAGATTGGAGCAATACCAGATTAATCTGTCTTAATGGGGGATGCACCTGGCTGGAATTTAAACATATAGGTGACTTGTTTTAGTGTAAAATTGAAAAATGAAAGTATCTATCCCTAAAATGACCAAAAAAAACCACTGTAGGGCTTTCTTCTGTTCCAGCTGAAATCAGAGGTCAGGGGCAAAGTGCAGTTCCCTTCAGGCAGATTTTTAACAGGAAACCCTCCGGGTTCTACAGCCTCCTTGTAGAAATCCTTCCTGCCTGAGCTAGTCCTTGTTACACACGGCAACTCAACATCCTGTAAGGTCCAATTTCTTTTCTTTTAATGTCACTTACTTCTGCAATTGTCTCCCGCCAGCTGTTCTTCTAGAGCAGCAAATATTCTCATCCTCCATGTGTGAGTGAGTGTGGCAGGGAGGAATTCCTCTTTTTCTTCTTCACCTCATTTCTCTCTCCTGTCTGAGCTTTCTATTTCTCTCTCTCATCATTACTCTGGCTTTCCTGGCCTTGATGTGTTTTCCCTATTGCCTCACAATACAACGCATCATCAAAGCTTCCATCTCCAACAGACTTACCCAGCATATCAAACTGCTTGGTTTGGCTGTCCTCCATTTTCAATGGCTATCACAGGACTGACAGGCCAAGCAGAGCATCTTGTTTTCTAAAATGAGACCATTCACCTTCTCATTCATGTCCAAACCTCAGTTTGGTCATCTATCAAAGCAATTAGCCCTTAATAAAACAAGCCATAAGGGGAGCCCATTGGTGTGACATTTATACTGCCTGGCAGCTGCCAGAGTTACTGACAGTGGAGAAAGACAGCTCTGCTCCAATATGAACAAATATTACAGGAAAAAAGCACGTACAAGTTCCAGGAAGAGATCATATGTCTCTTGGCAATCTAAGCCAGAGCCATCCAAGTCATGTTATGCAGAGAGGGGTTCACAAACTAGAAACTTTCTCAGCTGCTCCCAGTCAGAAGGTAACACTTCCTCCCCTCCCCAGCTACCATTCAAATCTTTACAATGTGTTGCCCTTGCAAGAACATAACAGTACCAAGTTATCCCCTATTCATAGTGGGGGAATGATCCTGGTAATGTTCATTGCTTGCAAAAGCATCTGTGAAAATTTTAATGGTGATCATTTTGAGATATACAGTGTACAACACTCCTCAGCTGGAGTACTGTGTCCAGTTCTGGGCGCCACATTTCAAAAAAGATGTGGAGAAATTGGAAAGGGTACAGAGAAGAGCGACAAGAATGATTAAAGGTTTAGAGAACATGACCTATGAAGCCAGGCTTCATGAACTGGGCTTGTTTAGTTTGGAAAAAAGAAGATTAAGGGGGGACATGATAGCGGTTTTCAAATATCTAAAAGGGTGTCACAAGGAGGAAGGAGAAAATTTGTTCCTCTTGGTTTCTGAGGCAGGACAAGGAGTAATGGGCTTAAAGTGCAGCAGGGGAGGTTTAGATTGGACATTAGGAAAAAATTCCTAACTGTCAGGGTGGTCAAATATTGGAATAAATTGCCAAGGGAGGTGGTGGAATCTCCCTCTCTGGAGATATTTAAGAACAGGTTAGATAGACATCTGTCAGGGATGGTGTAGACGGAGCGTGGTCCTGCCTTGAGGGCGGGGGGCTGGACTCGATGACCTCTTGAGGTCCCTTCCAGTCCTATGATTCTATGATTCTAACACACTGTCTTCTTTTAGATCCTCCCTCCATTTGGGATGTCAACATGTAGACAATTACATGATTAACCAATAAGACTGGGGTTATCAGTTAATCCTGTCAAATACATGCATTTCCCCCCTTGCTTCCTCTGTATCAGAGGCAGCATGGGGGAGAGTGGTACCTGGTGCCCCTTCTCCCTGATTCCTCTGCTTCTGCCTCTGATACAGAAGGCGGGGGGGGGGAGGGGGAGGGAGACAGGCAGGAGCTGATATGTGTGGGGAGCCAGCTTTTAAACTGGTTCTCCATGCATGCTAGCTGTGGAGCTACCTCCCCACTCCTCCACTGCCTCTATCAAAGGCAGCAGTGGGAGAAGAGGGGGAGGGCAAAGGAAGCTGCTGCAAAGCAACCTCTGTCCAGGGCAGGCCCAAGCTCCTCATGGACAGTGTCTGCTGCCACCCTGTGCTGTTGCCTCAGTGTCAGAGGCAGTAGCATGGGGCAGCAGGAGGGAGCTGGTCTGTGCAGGGAGCTGGGGAGCCTTTTCAAAGGCTTTCTGAAAATCTAAGTACATTATATCCCACTGGATCTGCCTTATGTTTGTTAACCCTCTCAAAGAATTCTAGTAGATTGGTGAGGCATGATTTCCCTTTACAAAAAACATATTGACGCTTTTTCTACTGTAGTTTCCATTTGCCCATTATTGAAGTCAGACTTTTTATTCCTGAATCTTTCCCAAACCAATTCTGATTTTGTGTAAAAGTATTTGTCAAGTAGTTTAGACAAACATCATGGTGGAGGCTGGACACAAATTGTTCCTTTGACCATCTTAATGGCCCCTCAAGTCACATGTGTTGTTTCTACCTTCTGATTTGGATATCTGAAACTTTAAAGCTACTTTCCTAATACATATTTTGGACAAATAGTTATTCATGCTAAAAATAATGTTTTTGCACAGATTTTATGGCAGTAACCCATATGCCTATTTCACTTTTTTTTTCTTTCTTGGTCTCCTTTAAGCCTGTGAGATTTGTTTTTGACTATTTGCTTCCACTATAAAGCTATTTTGGTGAAGGAGAAAATAAACTTTTGAATTCACAAATATTTTAAATCAAAGGACTTATCACTCAAGCAGCTACTCATGAATAACAGATAACATAACTCCATTTTTAGCAGAGGAGTAAAGTTGGCGCGTGAGTTTGCAAAATTGTTTTTGCATTATTCATCCAGTTCTATTCCCAGTAGTTCTCCAAGAGGGAAGTTTTAGCAGTGCTAGAAATGGTATAAGTGAAAAGCTGAAACCTAGTGTTTAGTCCAGTATATATGGGGTCAATGTTGAACACAGCTTCTATCTTTTAACCAATAAAGCTTCACTATGGGATATACTGCAGCATAGTCTCTTGTGTATAGCAGCAATCTGAAAAATGTACACAGATGAGCCAAATAGTTGGTTCCTAGTTACACTATATCTATACTTTCTTGCAGGAGACAGTTACACATATAACTGGCAGTGACAGGCCTAGCCTGATGAAGCCATATTGACTGCCCATGTAGGGATAACATATTAATGTATTTAAAATGATTCCCCCAAATGGAAGCGACTCCCCATAATTTGTTCTCCACAACTTAAAGTGTTTAGATTTATTATTAATTCTTCTTCTTATTATTATTATTTGTTAAGATTGTTAAATGTTTAGATTTATTATTATTATTGCCCCTTTAGAATATAATGTATTAGGTCATGTAACTTTACTCAGCACTCAGAGAATGTTTTAAGCAATACCACCCAGAAACTTTTGTAACTACAACTTTTATTATTATACAAATACTGTATGGGAAACATTAATTAGGGAACGTATGTAAGAGAGAGCGTGCTTGGATGATGAATGAATGGTTCTGAAAGGTGCCAGCCTGAGAATGCAGCAACAAAGGGCTGAAGAAGGCGTCAGGTGCCAGTGCAACCAAAAGGTGTCAAGTGGAGAAAACCAAGTACTGGAGGTCCACCCGATGAGATCACTGACGAGCACCTGGCAGCCACCCTGGAGACATCAGCATGATGCAGCAATTTCCATAGACTGGCCTAGGAAGAAATTCCTATAAGAACTGGACTAAAAGACTACGGAATCAGAGTCCAAGGTTCTGCTGCCAGCCTACCAGGCGCTTCAGATGCGCATCTGATCAGGACTTTGCTCCCCACTACCACACTTGTGTACAGAATACCTGGCCAGGATTCTGTCACAAGCAACTTCCAGGCTGGTAACTATAACAATACACAGAACCTGAATGAATGGATGAATGAATGTTTGTGTGTATAAGGGTTAACTAGTTAAACAATGTTGTTTGCTTCTATCTTTTCTTTATTTTTTTATTATTATCTTTACAATAAATGTGGCTTTTTGCCTTATCCCCCTCATAAGATCCTGCTTGCTTTTACTGGTATAACATCCGGTCCAGTTGCTGTCAGGATATTTCATACCATCTTTGAGGTGTTAAGTAATGTGTTAAAATTTAAAATGGCTGTGGCTTTAAAGAATTTAGTAGTCAGCCAGAGTTCTGACACTGGCTACTAATTCCAAAAAAAGCCAAACACTACAAAGGTTACTCTTGTTCAAATACCTTAACAAGGATTTCTTTTTCCTACATGCCTACTGAGAAATTTGTTGAAGGACTTCATTTTAAGTGAATGATTGTTCTCAAATGTATTGTATCAACGGGCCCACAGTCTAAATCACTCAACTCATTGACACACTTGGACTAAAATCTTGGCCCTGTTGAAGTCAATGGCCAACTTCCCTTGGACTCTAATGGGGCCAGGATTTCCTCTCATGTCCATAATGGTCACAACCAGTTATCCTTCACTGACCCACTGACAATATTTTGATTAAAAAACTAGAACAATTTAAAATGAAGTTGACACACATTAAATGCTGGCTAACAGGTAACTCACAAAATGTAATTGTAAATAGAATCATCTTCATCTTCAGTCATGTGTGGGGTCCCACCAGTTTGGTTCTTGACCCTATACTATTCACAATTTGTATCTATGACCTAGAAGAACACAAAAGTTATTGAAAGTTGTCTGAGTACACAAAAACTGGGGGAGTGACAATCTAACAGAGACGGGTATAACAGGATCCAACGGCCAGAAATTGCAGTTAAACACATTCAGATTGCAAATAATTATACCTGAGACCCCATTCTGTAGCATGAAGCCAGTGTTCTGCTAGGAGCTAAATATGTTATTCCTATACAGTTTGCACTGCTGGCAAGGCAAGCCTCTCATCCCTTTAGAAACAAACATTTTACTATTTCTTTTTCCTAAATTGAGACTGATTCATAACAAATTTACATTTAAAATATAATGGACTTCCCCAAAGTAGAAGTGATGCATGTGTCTGGAGTTGGTAGAAAACAATGACATAACGGTTGATAATCTGACCTTGCCTGTCTCAGATTTCAAGGACATTAGGCTAAAACAGGCATGTCCAAAGTCCGGCCCGGGGGCCAATTGCGGCCCGTGTTCTGGTTTAATACGGCCCCACGGGTAATTTGGCAATATCTATCTTTTATGGCCCCCAATGAATCCATATGTATTGAGATGAATACATTGTAAAATCTCAGTTAAAGTCAGTTGGTCTAAATCAGTTATAAATATATTTGGACACAACATGTATACTTGGTGTTATGTTCCTGTTCATATTTTTTGAACTTAAAAGTTGACAGACAACCTTTATTACCAATAATATGTAATGTACTTTACAATGTTCCTGACATATATTTC